TAAGACACTACAGATTATTTTTCTCGCATTATTTTATCCAAAATAACGGTCTGTCAATGATGTTCTCATAAGGCTAAAAATTTTTTTTTTTAACTTTTCATATTTAATGAACAATCTAAATACACAATCGGAATAAGTTAAATGATAACATTTAAGTTTATGTCATATTCTTAGACATTGTTACAATTTCTTTAAATAAAGAAGGAATGTTTAAATTATCATTCGCGGCGTAGTAATATATATATATATATATATATAGTGTAAGACAGAAAAATCTCTCACTGCTGTCTCACACCGGACAAGTCAATCTAACACTGGTGATTATGCCAGAGTCCTCCGGTACAGCGATGTTCTATATATAGGAGAAGCACGCCATTACAGAAGCAACAGATATGGTTTAAATGCCGATTTTTTCCCTTGATCATGTTGATAGCAAAAAAACCTTAAGAATTAAAGCTGAACACGATTCGTAAAAGGAATGTGTCCGCCATTTTTGATCAGAGAATCGCCATTTCTGCAGACCCCTATAAATAGGGCAGGACTTTGTCACTGCTCAGTGAAATCAGTCGACACCGGTGTAGATGGACGCATGTTATACAACACTCGGTAGCGACAATAATAACGTAATACTCCGTCTATCGCAGGAAAGTAAGATACCAAAGAAACTTACAGTTATAGTTGTACAGGTCAGTGCAGTGAATGTATACAAACAAAAACAGATACACGTTACTGCAATAAAATGTAAACAAAGGCAATGTACACAGCTAATTGTGGCACATACGTTTCACGTACGTTAAACGTATGTGACACGTACGTGTCTTCACGTGCGTTTTCCATGAAAAAAGTACCACGTACCGTGTCACATACGTTTAGAAACGTATGTTACACGTACTTGATTCATACATTAAACACACGTGGTAAATATTATACGTTAAACATACGTGAGTAAACGCACGTTATACATATGGAACACATATGAATAACGTACGTGCAACGTGTGTGTAACATATTTCTCATAACATGTTTAATGGGTTTATTATTTGCACTGCTCATATTGTAAATGTATAAATACCATACCATGGTTAAACACATGTTTTGAACATTTTTTCACATATTGTAAACATTGGTGAAACAAAAATTATGTGCAATTTGAATATTCAATTCATGCATTTGACATAATTTCTCTCAAAAGCTTATTTTCTTTTCATCTGTTGAATGATCCACTTTCTGGTTATCCTTCACTTTAAATTTCTTGATCCTATTTGCTCTTGAAGCAATCACAACAAAAGACATATTTAGATTTAAGCCAAATTTAATGTTGAGTATGTTAACATCAATTCATTCTTCTCCAGTTCTTTTATCTGTAAAGAAAAAGAAAATATTAAATGCATGGAATAAGGGAAAACCCATTTTTTCCCCTGAACATTATCATTATCCACATATTAAACTTGGTTGATTCTCTGTAGAACTTATATATAAATACTAAATAATTATTTTTTTAGTATTCATAACAATGATCTTTTAAACTATTTTTTTCACTATATCCTCAAATATCTACCTTGTAATTTTCTTATCTAAAATTCATTACATAGCATTGATTTGTGGGTGAACTCGGAAAAAACTGTACATACTCATACCCCATATGCCAGCTTATGGTTCAAGTTTCCCAAGTGCAAGTCAAACTCCAAAGTCAAGGTCAAAGGTCAAAATTGTTGACATCCAAGGACGGACTTGTCACAAAGAGTAAATATGTGAAATATGGAAGCCCTACTACTATCAGCTCAAAAGTTATGATCAAAGTTAGTTTTTTTAACAGTGGGTTAAACTAGAAGTACAGGGTCAAATATTTTAATTTATACCCATTGAAAGGTTTTGTCACAATAAATATACAAGTGAAGTATGAAAGCCCTTGCACCAACTGTTTAAAAGTTAAGGCCAAGATTCAAGTTATGAAACTTTCTTAAAAGTGAATCATACTCCAAGTTCAATTCAAAAGGTTAATTTGGTGTACCAATACAAAAGTATTGTCACAATGAATACCCAGGTCTATGAAATATGAAAGCCATAATTTCACCCACTAAAATAATATGGCCATTGTGAAAAGATTTTGCAGACAGACAGACAGGGCAAAAGCTATATAGATGTACCCCAGAATCTTTGATTACAGGGGTACAAAACTTATTCCTCATTGTCATTAACTTAGTCTTTTTGCTTTCAACTTAGGAGCATTATATAGATTTTCAATAAATCAATGTATTTTCAGTTTATGATTAATTAATTAAGCTGTGTCTTTACATCTGATCCACCTACCCTGGGGCTATATGAATTTCATAATTTCATTAGGACTCAATGCTGATTAAAATCTTGCTATTAGTTTGCTTGATGTCCTATTAAAAAAATACAATTTTGAATAATTTTCATGGGTTACCCCCCCCCCCCTTTAGCTTGGGTGGTGGTGGAGGGAGGAGGCAGTAAATGCTAAAATTTTACCAGACAGAGCACAGTGTATGACGATGGACAACAAGAAACCCAAGGGCCTTGAATCGCTCTTCTAATAAATTGTACAATCTATCACTAGTATTTGAAGCCTCTATGTTTATAAGACCCAAAATACATCAATCAAGAAAGTTCGATGATTCTTAGCCAGTTAGGACTGAAGATATTTCAATAGAGCTATAAAATACCATAAGTAGGTCATGGTGACCTACTTTTTGGTCGACATTCTCCAAAGATGCCTCAGCTGACAAAGTTTAACAATTCCAGGCCAATATAGACTTCTTTTGGATTTATCTTCCTGATTATCTCCCCTTGTATAAGGTCTAAACCCTAATTTTAGTATAAATGGTAGCCCTTGGGCCAAGGATGCCCTGTGAAAATTTGACAATGATTGTCCAAGGGGATCTTGAGTTATGACCCACATTCTAACAAGAGGCCCAGGGGCCACATCGCTCACCTGAGCAATTTACTAGGAAAAATCACACATCAGATCAGAACTGAAAGTTTGCTGGGGGGGGGGGGGCTTGAATTTTAACCCCCCTCCCCCCAGGGGGTCATGATTTGAACAAACTTGAATCTACACTACCTGAGGATGATTCCCTATAAATATCACTAAGCATGGCTTTAAAGTACTTAAAAACAAGATTTTAAAAGGTTTCCCTAGATATTCCTATGTAAAACTTGTGATTGGGTTTAACCAAATATCATAATAATGTTTATGTCAAAAAAAGATATTTTAGATTTTAAAATATTATAATTATTAAAATACATGCAACTTCTGATCTAAGGACCCGTTATACATGTTATAAGAAGGATGACTATGATTGCTCTTCTTCCTGAATAACAGGTTAAGCCCTAAGTGCCTATTGATTGTTATGTTAAATAATATCTTGATTAGTTCTCCAAAATCACTCAAACCATTAAGGAAAAATAGTTAGTTGTGGAAGTCCTGTATTTTAAGTGAAATTATGTAATCCCTAGCAACAATAAATGTTTAACGCATTGTTTTTTTTTTCTCTTTATAGCAAAAACTAAATGATAATTTGATTAAAAAATTAAATTTGAAATAAAATAAAAAGGATTAGATTTATAGTCAACCTACATTTATCATACATGTATGTAATAATATGAATTTACAAAATATACAGCCTTCTCATTCTCAAACATAGGTTTTCACACACATGTAAAACACCTTTTTAAATGTATATGTAACATGTGCCTGATAATACACATACTATATTCATCAACATATGTAATGAGAGCTTTAGAATACAAGTTAACCATAATATATTTATGTACATTAGTATATTTAATGTGTGGTTTATAATGCACATAAACTATATATATACATGACATTTGTGTTTTATAAAACACATGTAAACCATCAGTTCATTAACGTACGTGTAACATGTGGTTGACTATACACATGTAAACCATATGTTAATTAACGTACGTGTAACATGTGGTTGACAATATACATGTAAACCGTACGTTTATTAACGTACGTGTAACGTACGGTTGCACATAACATATGTTACACGTACGTTTCACGTACGTAACACATACGTGTATTCCAAACATACGTTTAACGTACGTTATGTGAAACGTATGTAGTCACACATATGTTATACGTACGTTGTACCACATACGTGAAACGTATGTTTGTAATACACGCATGTGATACGTACATTTCACATACGTGATACATGTGTTATGTGCAACCATATGTAACACGTACGTGGCACAATTAGCTGTGTAAGATAACCAGCACAAACACGGGTCGCCATTTCCCATCGAACCCGTGACAATAAAGCTGTCAGATGTGACGAATCTTAAGAGTTTATCCTGGTGTTGATGTATTGTAGATATTGATATCGAAAATGGCGAATGTCTTTTTACGAGTCGTGTTCAGCTTTAAACCGCAGTCCTCCTGAGGCATCAAGCACAACAACATTCCTTCTGCCATTATCAGCAATACACACGGTATATCTCTATTTCTATTCTCGAAGAGATGAAATGCAGAACTAACATTTGTTGAAAATAAAGCTTTACCCTCGTTGTTATTTTGAATTTTTTTAATTCCTTCGGTACCTGCTTACTTTGGGACTCTGCTTTGGTCCGTCCTAAATGAAAGCATGCTTATCAACAAAGTGCACACACACTCATTCTACGTAGGTCATGGACATTCACGGAAATTTGAAAAATGTGATGAAATTTTCTCTTTATGACTATAACTAACAAACACATAGAACATTGTTTCTTCCTGGGATTCCTTTCACTAGTTTTGATGTATTTTTTTTAAAACTGAGAATGATTTATAAATCTAGGTGCTCTTTAGTATAAATAAAATGAAGGTATATTACTTAGATTAGCTGTGTTATGAATTTGTGACAAGATTTTCCATACTTGACCTTTTTAACATTGTAAAATGGACAAGGGAAACATGAATTTGACAAAGAGTTCAATTATCTATTTTTCTTCTGCATTATCGTTAATAATGTTTATCACTCTAGGTATTTGATAATTTGGATTTTTCCAGTATTATCATTTCCAATAACAAGATTATGATCAGTGTCAATACTCATTCCTCCTGAACAGGAGTGTTCTATGTAGCAGATAAAGTTACCACACAAGTCAATAACGTGGACACAGTCCATTGACCTGTCATTTATCAATATTTGAAAATTGACATCTGTAGCAATGTTAAGAGGGCTAAATTCTTTTAAACTTGATTGTTTGGAGAGGTTTCCTGTATACTTGAATTGCAATTCTCCCGAGCAATCCACCACAATAACTGTTTTTCCAACATAATCAGCAATACAAATATCTCCATTGCCATTCTCTGTCAACAGAAGTACACTGAAAACACCAGTAGAAAACAAAGACTGTCCCTGACTGTCGAACTCTATCTTCTGAATTTCTGTGTCCCCTGAATATCTTACCACTCTACTCTGCGTCATATCAATAGAACGCATGCTCACTAGTAGATCTCCAGTTACTGTATAACAAAGACCGACTGGATAACAGTCAGGTATTCCAAACAATACCTTAAATTCATCATTAGTAAAAATGTATATATCGTTAAAATGCCAGAAACCTAAAGAAAACACTGGCTCCTGATCTAAATTAATTGTTAATGCTGTGACACTGTCGTTTGTAGGCATTGTCTTTAATATGGATCCAGTCCTGTCCATTTCTTTGATTGTGCCGTCATCTCCACTGATCAAAATTTTATCTCTCCCCACACACTGAATTCTCCATAGGTCAAACTCTCCTCCATATGGACTTTGTATGGTGCCTAGTACAGCAGGGACGTCCATAATTTTGAGTATTCCAGATTTTTTCTCTGAATCTTCTCCATTCTGAAGAAAACCAAATATGTCAACAATTTTGTCTTTTTTGAAAATACCAGTGAGTAATTTTGGACAAGGAAAACTTGGTAAATCCGGGCCTTTTTTAAAATCTCCATTTCTTGATTGATAGTTAAGTATTGCTTTGGCATTATTTCCTTTCAGGGTTTCTTTATTCTTCTGAACAACTTGATTGACTCTTTTTTCAGCCAAAGACTGCTTTTTTGTATATTTTCTTATAGCTTCTGCCTTCTGCCTAATTATTTCATCTGTAAGTTGAATGCTTCTTTCACATATAGCTTTGCATATTTTATCTTCTTGTTCCTTTATCGCAGATATAACTTTGTCAAACTCTGTTGTGACTGTACTTATGTTTATATTTCTGTATTTAGGAGCAATTGTCCTTTCCAGTTCTTCTGTATCAGCTGTTATCCGCTGTTTATATTCTTCAATAACATCAGTGATATCGGTAAATTCATGCTTTTTGTGAAAACCCATCAGGCACTGAATACATATTTCTACTTTACAATCTTGACAGTACGTTTCACATTGTTTTTTCTTGTGCTTGGGGCATGTTGAAAGAACTACAGTATTTTCCTTTCTGGAAGTGAATCCAACAATTTCATGTTCCCGAGATTTGTCAGCCATGTGTTTTGGTATGCAAGAGAGACAGAGGTCAACACGACAGAGATTGCAGTGATGTTCTACAGGATTTGGACAAAACTGGCAGCAAATGATGTCCTGTCCCTGGGCGGTAGCCATCTTTATTGTGAACTGATATGAAAATAGACCAAAATTTGTCCTTGGGTTAGTTATGTTGTACTGATTTACGAGGGGCTATTAAAAAGTTCATGGACTAGCGCTATAGAATTAAATCCGCTTTAGGTACATGAATGAATTTTAAAATACTGTAAACGTGGTTATATTGACGAGTTGAAAATTGACGTTTTTTTTTTTGTTCACGAAAATTGACAAGTGTTGATTTTGAAGAAATATTGAATCAAGAATCATGTATCTTTGATTTCACAAAATAAAAAAATGAATTCCAGAGTCATGACCGGGACTTCCTGATTAACTTGTTTGCAAGCGTCGGAATCACTAAAATGTAATTCTTTTATAGACTATCTACAATAAGAAAAATTAAAATCTTTAAGTTTGTAAAAAAATAAATTATCCTTTTGTATCTTCTTTTCATTATATAAGAGATCAAGAAGGTGAGAAAACAAGGTCAAACACGGCGTAGTAATACCACTAAGTTACGCATGCAGTATTTGATACACTATTTCAACTTAAATGGTTTAAAAAATTTGATTATATATCACTATGTTGATACTTACTACAAAAGATAAACAGTACCTTTTATCTAGTTTAAATAGGAGAAAGCCTAGAAATTAAGCGGTAAAGTTGTACAATGGTCAATGCCTGTTGTGACGCTATACATATGATGTGAAGTTTGATGAGTGTAAATTTTGACTAGAAAAGTAAAATCGTCAAAATACCGTCAAAATTAGCACATCGTCAAAATGTCCACGTTTACAGTATCTAGTTATCATCATCTTTTATATCTAAAGAATAAATTACAAATCACAAATTTTATCTTTATATCAATTAGTAATGTTTTTGTAAGCAATGGTATGTCCATCAGCGCAACCTCCAAAACGACGTTTCTTCGACCTACGTATAACTAAGAAAAACTAGAACTGTCCAAACGGAACAAAATAGGAAATGTTTAAACTGGCTACGGAGAAATAATATGCTTCTAGATTAGTTGTTTTTAATGCCATAATAGATTCAGAGAGAAAAGGAATGCACAGTTAATGTCGATTTGTAGTAGTCAAGGTGTGAAAAGCTAATCACATCAAAAAATGACGTTGATCATGTGTCGTAGTTATTGAACTATAAAAAGCAAAATATGCTGGCACAATCAAGCGATGATCTCTGAAATTGTATCAATCTTTTTGCAATAGTATATGAATAGAGAGCCGCTGTACATGACATTGTAAAGTCATATAAACAATACTGATTGAAGTCCTTCCTCAGCTTCAGGGTATCTTATCAAAATAAGTGTATGAGGTAGAAAAAGCAGACATTGAAAAACAATGACGTTGTCGGACGTCATAAAACTAAATCAGCGGCGACGGCGCCAGGTGATGATATATTTTTTATGTTTTAATAATTTGGAAAATAATGAGCGTATCAAGCTAAAATTTTCAACATTTCTTAATTTTTCGTTTTTTTATCTTTTGTAAAAATTTCGTAACCTCAGACTACATATTACTAATTTTATAGCCTCAATCCATGAACGTTTTGATAACCCCCCTTATTTATTGATGTTTATGCTTACATGCATCATTTTCAGATGCATGGTATGGTATTTCTGTAAGGAAGTTTATACAAATTTCACAGATTATTAAATATATAAATTTGTGGTATTTTACTAGCTATTATATTAACATCCAGAGAGCAAATATCTTCATATCCACATGAAGTTTTTCTCAATTCATAAGTCATTACCTGACCCAATCACATGGCGCAATAATATCTACATTAAATGACTTGCCCTACCTACAGTATTAAGCAATGAACATGATTTCATTGTATTAAGAATGTACAAAATACTCTAGTAAAATAACAAAAAACTGTTTTACGTAGGATCGTAAAGGCTCTCCAGAGAATATCGCAATGTACTCTGTATTTTCATTTCTCTAAACTATAAAGGTATGACGGCATCATTGAAAATGACTTCGTCACGGAAACCTGAGCTGTTATAATTGAGAGAGTGTCATAAACGTTATACCTTAATAGCTTATTATCAGTCTGCATAATTATAAAGTGTCAGAAAGCTAGAGTAAAATAAATGTTTATTTTTTCTTATATCTTATGCATCCATTATGTGTGACCTATTCTTATTTCACGTTTTGTTTCAAAGTCAATGTGTTCAAGATATAAACGAAAATATACGTTCAACATTTAACCCTTTGACTGCCCGTGAATAGACGTAGTATATATCATTTGTGTATAAAATAACCTGGCGTTGCTGATTGATGAGGATTTATTGGAAATATTTTGTAGAAATCTGAAAAAGGGGTTTCTTCTCTAGCTGAATCTTGCTTTGGAAACTTTGTTATGGCTCTTTGAAACTGCAGAATGTTGACGATATTGAGTGGATAATTTATTGTGAATTATTTTGTACCTAGAGAAATACTTTAACTTTTTCCTCTTTAGCTCAGTAAGTTGGTCTGCCTATTTAATGCACTGGAAGCGAAAAGTTGTTGTTTCGAGCCTGGCGGGCATTGGGCGTTAATTTTTTTATGCAAACAACCATTTGTTTTGTCAGTTTCGTTTTATATACTGATTTATTAAAATTTTGAATTAAATAAATTTTGGCTCAGTTTGGTTTTCGAGCGAAATCAATTCAAATCAATTTTCTATTCTATAATTTGCATGTACACGTATCATGCATCTATGCATTAAATATTTTAGGTGTTTATTTTTTGTGAAACTATGTTACATAAAAACCTATGGACGTGTTTGTACAATCTGACCAGCTCTGTTCCGCTAACCCAATCATGAACATTTAAACTATAAATGTTTCGTACAAATGATTCCTGCAGATCACACGCCAAATGCACACATCTTCTTTTAAAAAATGACATTTCTTAATATGTTTGGATCCCCAGAGTTAACAAACACTTGCGGCAAAACAAACAATTGGTAATGATTATTTCCTACAGTTAAATGCATGATTGACACGTTTTGTAAATCAAGTATTACATACGTTTCTTTGGTAAAAAAGAATTGAAAAGTAAAAAAAAAAATATTCATTGAATTTTATAAAGTCATACACGTAAATATCTAAAGCAGTTATAGGATGAAATGTAACCAAATAATAGATAAAAAGAGCCTTGAAAAATATACCAATATATATAATAATATATAACATTTTTGATTAAGTTTTCTTATTATATCACAAATGTAATAAGTTTCGCTATGAACCTTGCAAAATCTGAGTCACACCGGAAACAGTTATGTCACGCGGGAAACATTTATGTCAACCCTCGACGGAAACAGTTATGTCATCCTTTCAATCATGTTCACGTGTTTTTACGTTACGCATTTTTGTTCGGGTTCGAAATTTTATGACATCGGTTGCTAAGCAAAAGTCAACAACACAGCGTAGGGTGAATTCACCATACATCGGACACATACCTTGCTTCGGACAACTTTCGGCAATAAACTCTCTCTCAACCTAAGAGTTCTGTGTATGTATTTGCTTCTGTCTTAAAGCTGAAGATTTTTTAATGATACCGATTGTTATCATGTTGTGATAAAAATACCCCGAAAATGGCCTTGATGTTACGTCATTATTTACATCGTAAAAGGGGATTAACCAGAAATTTATGATTTTGCAATTTTTAGAGTTATCGTTCTTTAAATTCGATTTCAATGGAACGAGTCAGACTTTGGTGAATTGGGTCAAAGACTGGTAATTTTATATAAATTTTTAACAAATTTCACTTCAATGGTCGTATAATTATTTTTTAGGTGGGTTTTACTGGTATGTTCTTTTCTCCGTACATCGGACAAATATTAACCATGCATCGGACACTTTCCGATGCAAAGGTGAGCACTACCATTTTCATACAGAACCCAACTGACAGCTGTTTCTTGCGGAAATAGAAAAAAAGAACTCTATATTTTCAGTTTAAATGCGAGTTATAGATATATGACGTTTAGAATTTGACTCAATTTATTTCTACAAACCAAAGTATAATAAACCACGAGAAAACAGCGCGAATTACCGCATTACAAGCATTTCTTACTAATCTTAGGCACAGTGAGGTATCTTGAATCGTTCTACATTTGTGCAACGATATCGTCAATTAAATTTAAGTCGATGGTCATTTCTAAAATAAAAGATAAATATAAATCCATATTAATGGCTTTAAAGCACTGTGATAAAGGTGTGATATTTTTCCGGTCCAAATAACGTCTGTCCGATGCATGGTAAACAACGTCCGATCCATGGTGAATTCTGGGTTATGTTTAAAAACTGGATTTTTGAGTTTATTTTCTCAATAAAAGGCATGTTTTTGTGTCACAAATTTATATTTTAATCACATACTAAATGTTAAACTCCATTTTCATAATTTTCCGTCAGTAGAGATATCGCTAAAACTTCTCGGGCGACTATACCAGAATATTTGCCCCTCGATGACAGGAGAGTCCCGGAGTGTTATGTCACCCTCTGCCTTCGGCATCGGGTGACATAACATTCCAGGGCTTTCCTGTCACCTCGGGGCAAATATTCTGGTATGTAACCCTCGAAACCATGTGATATGTATAAAATAATATATTTCATTTAGGTTACCAATGGTTGCCAAGGTTTTTATACCGTGATAGTGAGCCTTCAAATTAACACACTGTATATTTAAATCTGATTCTACCTTTTAAAAATGCAAATTTCCTTAGAACTGATGATCAATTTAATTGAGGCGTTGGTGTGGTCCTAATTTTCCCATTTAATGATCAATTTTATTAATGAATGATTTTTGACGGCTAACCTGACTTTTAAGTTTGACTATCGTCCAATCTCTAACTGGATGCAAAAAGCTGGCACACAGGATTTACAACTGATTTAAAGTTTACAAAATCGAGCATTTTCCCTTCTTGGTAACCATAGCGACAGTGTTGTTTTTCTTCATCAAATTTAGCAATATATGATACCGGTATTCATCTGTAGTTCTACCAGATAAGTACCA